ACTTGTCTCATGATTCAGTTGACTGCTTCTGTTAACTTTGGTGCAACATTTGTGTTTATTTGCACATTATAAACAAAAAGAGAAAAAAGCAGTATAAAAAAAATAATCAACAAAACTGTAGTGAATTTCAAAAATACGAAAAAAAATACTTATACACAAATTAAATTTCATTCATATGCATTCATAAGAAACGCTACTCGTAGCTCGAATATAAGCAAATGTAATTTCACCTGTTTTCTGTTTCCTACTTTCTCTCGGTAATGTATACTTGCAGCTTGCAACTTAGCAGCAGCTTGTTTTCATTTATATTTCAACATTAACCTTTAGCTGAAGTGCAACATATTCAATTCATTTGCTCCTACTGCCGCTTGTCCTACGCTTCTCTTGCTATTCTGCTATTTTTTCTGTAATTCCCTTCTTATAGATGTCGTGCCATAAAAGCAACACTTTCTTTCCATGCTATTGCTCTTGCAAAGCCATCGCTCGAATAGCATCTCACGCCCCCAATGTATAGGTAGTTAGATGCATCCTACAAAATTATCAATTTGAAAGGGAGTTGTTGATGCGCATCAGTAAGAACGTCAACAACATTGCCGAGAAGACAATCAACAACAACAACAACAACAGCAACAGCAGCAACAACAACAATAACATACTTGTTATGTTGTCGACATGTCTCGTCCTTTAGCCTTTGGAAAATTTTAATACCAAGTGGTGATGTATTTGTTTAAAAGACTAAAGCCTAACGACGACAGGTTTAAATGTTCTCACTCTTTACACTGCTGTGACCATGTAAAATGAGCAATCATAAGGATTCTGGCACTTGCTTATGCTAGATAGAATTTTCAGCTCTTCAACTGTCTGTCTGGCTTTTTTTAAATGTTTCCGTTACCAACACATAAACAAAGAGCAAATAAATATATGGGCGAAATAAATCCAAAACTCTAGCATACTTATAGGTGTCTTTATGAAGATGTTTTGTTGAGAGTCGTTTTAATAATAAAAGCGGAAATATATGCGACATAAAAACAATATAAATAATGCACAAAAAAAAACAAAAAAAAAAAAATACGGAAGAGCTATATAAAATGTGTAGAAACTAAATTAAAATTTTTATAAAAGTCACAAAAAATACTTAAAGGTTTTATAAAAGGGGTAAACCAAAGACAGACACATATAAAAAAAATTTAAAAAGCATATTAAAAAAATTATAATTTAAAAAACAGTAGTCAACTTTTCTCTGAAAAAAAAAAGAAATTCTACTAATTATTATGGAAAGAACCAATTTTTTTTTCTACATGAAGACTCTCAACATTATTTATTGAAGTATATAATATAGGTATTAATCTTCCTCCAGTGACATAATATTAAAACATTAGATATAGCCCACATAGATTCAATCACACTATATATATATATATATAAATATAAATAAATAAATTAACTATTTGAAATATTTTCTGTTGACAGTATAAACAGAAACTACAGATATCATTAACGCATTATTTTCTCCAGCTATCTTACCGCAAACCTAGAAATTTGCAGTTATGGTGATCTTTCCAAAATTTGGAACGGACCTTTTTTATATGACAATTAGTTCCCTATAAGTTTCGTGCCTGCTATAGATAAATTTACAACAAACAAAGTATTGAAAAAAATCAAATATATAGTTATAGCTAAAGATTTCATTCCCAGGGAACAGTTCGATTTCCAAAATAACCTTTCCAATAATTTTCAGTTTGCAAGAGTTTCTCAAAGTATAAGCAAAGTTCTCTGCGAAATAAATTCAACTAGAACAATGCAGTTTAATAACACTAAGGAATTTGATTTGTTGTTTTTTTTTTTTACTCAATGGACCGTTAAACCGGTTGTCTGCGAAATGGTGTGCCCGTTTGATTCCCTAACATATTAATATTATACGAACTGAAACACGCTTTCTTCGAAAATACTTTTTCTTCTCTGGGACCGCTTTTGCATTCACTTTCGGAAGAGTCCCATTTATATTGGCGTTGCAAACCATACTCTTTTGATTGTCGATATGCGTCCAGAACTCCACTTTTTCACCACACTTTTTGATGTCTGTCCCATGTACCACACCAATTTCTGCTTCTTCTTTCTGGGTGTAATTTCTTCGCTTTGAGGACCTGAACCACATATGACTCTATCGTTTGCTAGTTCTCTGGGTTCGCCAAAGTGTTTGATATGGTGTGATGCATTAAACGAATCGTCAACAAAAATTTGATATGATACAATAACTTAGTTAAAATGATTAACTTCTCGTAACTAGTTTTTAATACAATACCGTTCTTGGTCAAAGTCCAAAACCACTTTGTATCTACAAATAAAATTATAGTAGGTTTATTCCTCAAAATTCTCCTTATTGTATAATTTTGTATGAGGCAGATTTGAAATTTATGAATATAATTTTACTCTTTACTGAAGAGACCTGCATTATGCAAAGCTTATTCCATTGTAAACAATTTACAACTTCATATTGATAAGATAATGAGACACTTTCTGAGCATGAAGAATTGGAGTAGATGTTAAAGAAACGAAAGCCACTTCTATTACAAGTTGTACAATCAAAATCCTAGAAAAAAACAATAATAGAAGCAATAACTTGAAAACAGAATGGGAATGTAATGTTCAATATTTAACTTACAACAGATGATACACTTGGCTACAGAATTATAGGGGTCCAAAACGTGACTTGTAATATAACTCTAAATGGTCTGAAATTATTCATATAAGAATAAATTAGTCTGAAAAATAAAACTTTTTGCTGTAAGACCAAATAATTAAACCTGAAGTAATTTATAGTTGTGATCCTTATGGCAATGCTGCTACTCCCACCATTAGAAAGTTCAAACTTAATGGAATATTGTATTGAGACGTATGCTATAAGCACCATTGTAATACAGGAATAAAGATATATACAAAGACTTGAGAGTCGAGTATGTACAAAAGTACATCGAAAATAAAGCGCGAAAACTGTTTGAAGTAAGTGTGAGCCTTATTCAAAATTGCACTCTTATAAAACGAATGCAATATATATTCCGTCAGTCAGAAATGCAGGGCTTCAAACCCTACTTCAATTAAATCAACTGAATAACTCAATACTATGTTTTAATGGAATACTGGTTACTGTCGGTCAATCTAGTGTTTACGAACACTATTTAGTAAGCACTAATTCTTATTTTATCAAGCAAAGAAACAAAAGTATAAATATAATTCTTGTTTAATGAAATTTTGAAAAAAATTTTTTAAATTAATTGAGGTCTTGGGACATCATCAATGTTATTTTGAAAGCGTCTATTTACTTCTGTAAATATAAAACTAATTTCCTAAACTGAAACCAAAGCCATTTTTCCATATATTCTTTTAAAAAATTTATTTTTGGAGTCTGTCCTATTATTGAATACCCTAGTATCCCTTTGTTTAAAGCTGATGCAGTTAAGTCCCTCCAGCTTTAATCACATTTTGTACAAAACCAGCTTAAAGTACTTTATTTCGTTAAAGTATCTGTACCTAATGTTTGTACATAAATAAACAACAAAAGTTTTATCTCACCTTTCTAAGCTATTCACTGATCGGTTATTTGCATACATTTTCGCAGACCACTGCATGTAGGTTCTAATCCAATACCTACGAGGAATAGTGTAAACAAATTAGCGTAATGGGTGTACATATGTTGAGTACTCGTGGATTTGGTCACGTTTTAGTTTATTCATCAACATGTGGCGGATTGGTCATTGCATATTTGCAAACTCACCTTTTGTTTATCTGTTAGTCAAAATATTTATTAGGTCTACTTTTATGAGAACGTTGCATATCAGGATGATTTAATTAATTCTGTTTATAAAGATTTAAAATGGAAAAATTTTTATTAAGTAATTAAACTGAAACAGAATTAGTAATTAAGGCATTAAATGGGACTCAAAAATTTGTTTAATCAATTTCAGTTACCATGTTGGAGGAAACTGTAGATATCAGTTTCCTTCAAACGAATTGAAAATATTTAGTTTTTTGTAAGGTGTAAGACGAGTATCTTTTTATGAAATCTTGATTTCTTGGGAATATAAAAAAAAAGTTTTTCATTAGCTCACTATGATAACATAGCTTTTTAAAATAAATTTTCCCACTTTTCAATTTAATATTCTTTTATTTAAAATACTAAAAAAATTTATTTATTTATTTGTGAGTAAACATTAAAATCGATTTTAAAGTTAACTAATTATTATTATTTAAATAGGCTATTTGTCGCACCCCGACCTAAAAAGATCTATTGTGCGCCTTGGCCCAGCTAGGACAATTTTACACTATTTATAAATCTTATAATTGCAGTGGGCTTAATTTTACCTATTTGATTTGGGACCACGATCCCGCTACCAAGGTAGTCGAGTCTACGTCTTGCCACCGCTGAGCAGTTGCATAGAACATGTTCTGATGTTTCCTTCTCCTCATGACAGAGTCGACAGGAATCACTTTCTACCGCGCCTATAATCTTCATGTGGTAATTAAGTCTACAGTGTCCTGTAAGAAGTTAAGTGTAGAAAGTTAACTAATTATAAGGAACTGGAGTGCTAGGTCCTTCGCCCTATCTAAAATAGAAATAAGCTGCGTACCAGCTCTCAACGGAGCTGAGCACTGCGACCATGGTTGATCTTTTGTGCTGCCCTATCTAAAAATTTTTAAAATTTTACTATTAGTAAACTTATATTTCAATTTATTAAAAAGAAATAATTCCTTTAATTTTATTTTTTATTAAATAAATTCATTTATTTATTTTGATTTGCTTATTATAGCTAAAAATGAATTATTGATTTTTAAAAAAAATAAATAATTAAATTCAAAGTTTAAATAAAATTTTTAAATAAATAATTTAAAATAATTAATTTTTAAATAAATAATTTAAAATAAATATATATTTTAGTAATTTTAAACAAATATTTTTTTATAAATAGTTTTAAATAAATAATAAATGCTATCTTTTGTTGATGATTTTTATGCTAATTAAATAAAACTAACTAAAATTTTGAACTTATAGTCGCACTACTTCCACGCCTTGTGGCGTGAAAAGTGACTCAGCTGCCAATTTTAGTTTTTCATTGACCAATTTAGCAATTTTGGGTGTACGCCTCCAAACGAACTCTCGTGTGCGGTCATGATTGTCCTTGCTCTCAACTTGAACCTGGTAATCAAACAAAAAAAATTGAATTTTTTTATTACAAAAAAAATTTAAAATTAAGTTTTTATTTAACATTAAATATGTAATATAATATATATTTTAAAAAATAAACTCTGAAAAATATTTGCTTTGTTATTATAATATCATATTGTTTACGCATATTATTTTACAATATTTTAAAAATTCATTCACCTATTTATCAATAATTTTTTCTTCACTTCAAAGATTTTTACATAATTAAAAACTATATTTAAAGCTTCGATATGAATATCAAATTAATTGATGTAATATAACAACATATTTGCAGTAGCAATAAAAAGTTGATTATTTTAACATTGAATTCAGGGTTCACTAAACAATATCAATTGCATTCTTTAATAAAAAATATGATTTTATTTAATGCAAAATTATTATTTATATATATCATAATATCCTACCTTTTACCTCGAAAAATATTTTCATTCATCCCAACAGTGATTTTCTTTTTTTTATTTAATTTTATATTATTTAACTTGTTATTTCATTTTTTTTTTCATATTATTATTATTGTTACATGCATTCTGTATTATATTTAATTTCTTTTATTTAAAGTTTTTTTTTTGTTGTCAAGGTTTATTTTTCAATATTTTATGTTACTTAAGTTACTTTTTATTATTCTACAAATATTTTTTTTAATACAGTATTTTCTAGATATATCAGATTTTTTATAGCAGTATGCATATTTCATTTTATTATAATTTATTTTGCTTTGTTTAAATTATATGACTCTGCTTTATATCATATTTTTTCTACTGCTTAAATTTATTTCTTCAATTTAAGTTTATTTATTTTTATTCTATTTTACTTCATTTTATTTTATTTTAATTTATTTTACTTCATTCTATTTTACTTAATTTTATTTCATCTTCCATTATTTTATTTTATCTTACATTATTTTATTCTATCTTATTTTATTTAATTTCATTTTATTTTATTTTATTTTATTTTATTTTTTATTTTATTTTATTTTATTTTTATTTTATTTATTTTTTATTTAATTTTATTTAATCTTATTTTTAATCTTATTTAATCTTATTTAATCTTATTTATTTTATTTTATTTTATTTATTTTTATTTTATTTTATTTAATCTTATTTATATTATTTTATTTTATTTTATTTTATTTATTTTATTTTATTTTATTTTATTTTATTTATTTTATTTTATTTTATTTTATTTTATATTTATTTATTTTGTTTTTTTTTTTTATTTTATTTTAATTTATTTCATCTAATTTAATAATTTTGTTTTTATTTGCTTTCATTTGATATCGTTTTATTTTACATATTTATTTATTTATTTAGTTTAATTTATTATTATTATTTTCATCATTTTTATGTTTCATTATTTGATTTTATTTCATGTCATATAATTTTTTATATCATCTTACCTCTTTTATTTCATTTTATTTTGTTTTAATTTACTTATTTATTTTTTTATTTCATTTTATGTGACTTTATTTTATGTATTACTCAGTATTTTAATTAAAATTATTTCTTATTTATTTCCTTGCATTTTGAATTTCGTATTTAATTAATTGAAATTCTCACCTGCTTTGGTTGTTGCACTTTAATTGACAACAATGAAGCGCGATCATTGATGACACTAAACTTAATGCGTCCGATCATTTCGTTTGTGCGTGCAGTGGCGCTCTTAACACTGCGTACACCGCCACGTTTGAATGACTTCTCCACTCGTAATATCAGAGGACCCAATGTAAATTTAGCTTTAATGGTTGAATTGCGTCCTTCCGGATCAGCAACTACTTTGACGTTGCCGACACGCTTCAACGATGCCAAACCGGACAATGTACCTTCAGCTTTTTGTAATTTTTCGACATCCTTACCGGCTACGGCTTTTTTATTGGTGTTGCCACTTTGTTTCACTTTATTTGCTGCACTTGCCGTTGCAGCAGAATTGCCAGCAACTTTTTTTGTGCCTTGTTTGTGTCCTTTTGTATTGACTTTCTTTTGATTTGCTGATTTCACATTTTCCACAGTATCAGCATCATTTGTGACTCTAGTGCGTACTTCCGGTGCAGTTTTTTCGTTCGCATCCTTAACTAACGCATCCGTCTTTTTTTCAGAACTTTCACCATCAGTTTTTTTGATGTCCTTAATCTTTTGTTGTTCCTGTTGCAATTGTTGTAGTTGTTGTTGCAATTTGCTTTGTATTTTGGAATCATTGTCACTGCTGCGTGGCTCGAAGGTTTCACTCGAAATCTCGGAATTTTGTCTAGGTTCGGATTTGGTATTTTTTCTATATGAAGTCGTAAAGATAAAATCGTAAAGAAAGCGAAACAAATTGATTGGGTTTGGTTTTAGAAGTAAGGTTAAATGTTTAGGTTGAAAGGAAATCGAAATAAACTCACAATTTCTTTGTTGGTGCGGTGGAATGAGAATGTGATTTGACGGGCTTCGCTGGCAGATTTGAGGCATCTTTGGGTGCAGCTCTAGCATTTAAACGTACAACAAATGGGTCATAATTGTCGGATACAATGCGATTGATGCGCTCGAATATTGCATCAATGAAGTGATTGTGCCGTTCTTGGAAAGCGTCACTTGACATGTCAATGATGTTATTTTTAAGTGCACCTAGTTTTTGTTGTATTTTTTTTTTCATAGTTTATATATATAAAACATAATTAGTAATTTTTCTTTATTAGTTAAAGAAAACTTAAGCAAATAATGAAAGAATTTTATCTCGAAAGAGTGGGTAAATATTTTTTGGAGTAGCGTAAGGAAGCAGAATAAGGGACGATTAGGGATTAAAGTTGAACCACCATAATTTTTTTTTTTGTTATATATATTTTTTATGTTATTAGTATATATTATGTTTCAATATTAAGTGGGTGTGGCATGGTTTTTGAAGCTCTCAATTTGCAAGCATTTAGTTTGGTTTTTGCTATAGTATTTGCTCCTGATAACCACTGCTTTCCAATCCTTGAGAATGAGTATTTCTTATATGTGGTAAATCTGTGTTAATTTTTTCATTTCTGTGGATTTTGCAATTTGTTAGTTGATTTGATTTCATTATTGTTTTTATGTTAAATTTAATGATTAAAGCGATGACATTGAAGCAATGCGTTGTTATCTTATGTTGCGTTATTTTAACTTTAAAGCATTTCAAATGTATTTTTGTTAATGTCGTTATTGCATGTTAAGTGCTAGGTTAAGTGCTAGGTTAAGTGAAAGTTAGCAGATGTTAATTTTGTTAAAAAATGAAAAATGTTTTTAGAAAAGAAGGCGTGTGAATTTTTAGGAGTGCAATAAACTTCTACAAAATACTAAATTTAACGAAATGTACTATGAAATAAATTAAATTAGAACTAAAACAAAATTTATTTAACTAGAAAGGACCTTTTTCATACAGTGGCGGCGTTAGAGTAACCATTGCAAGGCCACTTTCATTGCTCAGAGTTAGAGAGAAACGTTAATTTAACTGGATTATATTATGT